CCCCCCTCTCGTTCGCAAAAGTTCGCTTTGGCCGACACCCCCCCTCCCCCCAAGTGCGAACGTAATATGTGAACAATGCCTATAGTTATTATGAAAATAATTAACACTTAAAATACCAAAGTATTTAACGATAAGTTTCTTATCAACAGCGACGAGAAATATAAAAGTTATTTGTATTATATTTTAAGACATAATTAAAATTTTTAACAAATGTCTAGATTCACATACACAATAAACTAAAAGCAAATAAATGATTAAAAACTATACTACATATGAAAAGCACTCGAAAACATAGTCATCTCATAAGTGTTTTAATATTAATAAACAATACATAAGAATATTCATTAAAATACAATGAATTTTCATACCATATGTTTGTTACTAACAGTAACTATAGTTTATAATGAGGCTAAAGTTCACTATAAAGTAACCTCGGTCGAAAAGCTCCAGTCTGACCTGGGTGAAGGGCCCCACTGGGATGAGAAGCAGGGTGTTCTATGGCACACAGATATTAACGAGTTTAAAGTGTGCCGGCTCAATGTTACTAGCGGTGATACCGAGTGCCATAAATTGGATGACATTGCCACCCTGGTACATCCATATCCAAATGGCGAGGACTTATTGGTGACACAGCGTAACAAAATGGTTAAATTAAACTGGAAAACTAAACAGACCACGATTATTGGTATTTGTTTTCTATTAATTTGAAAAACTATTTATAATATAAAATTTTATATTAACGTAATTATTGTATATTAAAATGTTGTTAAAACTTTTGCAACACTTTATATAATAATTGTGCGGTAAGTTATGTACTACTGGTTTAATAATATAAATTAACTTAACAAGAGTAATTAATTATTACGATTTTCATTTGTCACAATTAATAATGTTTTTAAAAATTATTTTACTCATAATTACTCGTAATGTTAATTGACTTTACAATCTTTATTAATTATTTACATGTGAATTATGAACACATACCGTTCCCTATCTATACCCCCCTATAGGAGAAGTAGCGCCTGAACTGAAGGGTAAGGAACGGTTCAACGATGGAAAGGCCGATAAAACGGGTAGGTTATGGATGGGCACAATTCTGGACAGCGATAAGGGTGTAGTTCCCGGTAAGGGTAATCTGTACAAGTGGGAGGATGGTAAATTCACCAAGATGGCCGATAACTTCTACCTGACCAACGGTATGACGTGGCCTAAGGACCAGAAAAAGATGTTTGTCAACGACTCCCAGGGCCGCAAGATATATGTGTTTGACTTTGACCTCGAAAAGGGAACTCTCTGTAAGTTTTTGAAATAACCATGTTTACTTTAATAATTTTATAAATGTTATTCATAATAGGTTAGCTTATTCTGCTATAGTAATTGGTAAACATTAGTATTAGTGATTTATTTGTAAATACAGTATGTGTTTAAATTTCTAGCATATCTGTCCAGTTTTTATGTTTTTATATTACCATTCTATGTTTTATTAAGGAAATTATGAATGTACTATACGAAACAAATATGGAAAAAATATTTTTAATTATTTAATTAAGATTTACAAACTGTAAACAGAAAATAGACTAGGTTGTGAGATGTATAAAAGCAGGTTATTAGCAGCTACTAGTGGTTCTAGTGGTACGTTATCCCCCGGAGTAGGGGTGCGCACTCCCATTCATACCCGAGCCAGGTTCAGATGGTGAAGGTTTTTGGATAATTTTAATTTAATATTAATTTAAGATTGTGACGACAATTTAAACCTTTTCCTAACCCTACTATAATATCGTATTATTATTTAATGCATTATTATTAAGCTAACTATTTATAATCATAATCAAATAATTCTATGCATTAGATATAATATAAACAGTATATATACAGTATTAATATTATGTTTTATACATTAGCCAACAAAAAGGTGCTAGTTGATTGTAACAACAGCACCGACTGGACAGTGAACGACCACCCGGACGGCCTCACCATCGATATCACCGACCATTTGTGGGCTGCGAGTGACTACGCGGGACGTGTAGTTAAGATCGATCCCAACACCGGCGATGTGGTGGACACCTGTTCCATCCCGTGCCCACTGACCACTACCCCGGTGTTTGGCGGCACCAATATGGACGAGATGTTTGTCACCACCGCTTATAAGAACGGCGGTCCCGACCAGAGGACAGCCCACCCCACCTGTGGACAGACACATAGGATTACCTCCG